GAGAGTGTGTGTGTGTGAGAGTGTGAGTGTATGTGTGTGAGAGTGTGAGTGTGTATGTGTATGTGTATGTGTGTGTGTGTGTGTGTGAGAGAGTGAGAGTGTGTGTGTGAGAGAGTGAGAGTGTGTGTGTGAGAGAGTGAGAGTGTGTGTGTGAGAGAGTGAGAGTGTGTGTGTGAGAGAGTGAGAGTGTGTGTGTGAGAGAGTGAGAGTGTGTGTGTGAGAGAGTGAGAGTGTGTGTGTGAGAGAGTGAGAGTGTGTGTGTGAGAGAGTGAGAGTGTGTGTGTGAGAGAGTGAGAGTGTGTGTGTGAGAGAGTGAGAGTGTGTGTGTGAGAGAGTGTGAGAGTGTGTGAGTGAGTGAGTGAGTGAGTGAGTGTGTGTGTGTGTGTGTTTACAGTCAACAGTGAGCTGCGACACTTACTCGTCCTCACCAGACTGACCTCTAACTTAAAACACTTAACACATCTGGTGTCTCTCTCACACACACACACACTGCCATCTGCACTATTTGCCTTTTGGGGCCCAAACGGCAGAAACCCAAAGCACTCTCACACACACTCGACGGCTTCTTCAGTTTCTGACAGACGTCCAGACGCTCAGCATACGCGTCTCAGCAGGGCTACTATATCAAGCTTGGTTACTACACTAGAGTTTAGTTGTAACTTGAAATATATCTGAAAAACTATAACAACATCTCAGTGACACTAAAATAACCCTGGAACTCGGTGATGAACATCTTTCTGATTCTTTTCAAATGCTGATCACGTCTACATACGAAAATCCATCATAAAAATAGCTGTACATTTTTATAGCTACAATAACCGAGTATAATAAACATAAAACATTTCAATATTTATTATGCAAAAACAAATCATATCACTTTTTGCACAATTTGTCTATTCTACATTTCCTTCACAAAGTCTACAATAATTCCCAACAAACAAACAAACAATAAATAAATAGAACGATAGATGGATTGCAAAAGTGCAAAAATATAAAAATAAATAAATATGATTAGAACAAACCTTTATCTCCTGCTCCTGTCTCTCAAAGCTTATCTTTGTTGATAAATAAATATATATCTTCACAGAATAACTCATTATTCTATGGAGGCCGTTTCTGCCACTGAATAATATTTTTTTTTTAAATAAATCAATAAAAAATAGGATAAAATCATAAAAAATAAACAAAACAAATAAGTAATAAATCGAACAGTGGATAGGGGGAAAAAATCATAATGTAACTTCAGTATAAATTCGGTCTTTATACAGACGATATAGATGCCTTTTACAAAAAAAACTGAAAAACATGGAATAATTTAAATTTGTTCGTTTTTTTGTAACATTATAATGCATTTAGCATCATTGTTTTGTGCTTTAACGTGTCTTAGCTGAATAAAAGCATCAATTTGTTGAGAAAAGAGGCAACAGAAGTGATATGATGTCCATCTCACCTGCTCAGCTGCTCAGTGTGGCTGGATCTGGCAGCATCCAGAAGAGCTCCTGCTGCAGACACACACACACACACACACACAGATAAACGCCTTATAATCACACTCAACACAGGATCTGCGAGCGGGAGTGTGGATCTTATTATTATAACACTGAGTGTGTGTGTGTGTGTGAATGAGTGTGTGTGTGAGTGAGTGAGTGTGTGTGTGTGAGAGTGAGTGAGTGAGTGAGTGTGTGTGTGAGAGTGAGTGAGTGAGTGAGTGAGTGAGTGAGTGAGTGTGTGTGTGTGTGTGAGAGTGTGAGAGTGAGTGAGTGAGTGACCTGCTAGCCAAATGATGGTACTGCAGGCGCGACTCCTCGCTCGCGACGCTCTTCCTAGACGCTCGCGGGCCGCCGGTCACCGGACTCCGGTTCGGTTCGAGCTCACAGAGGTTTCGGAAGCGGGAGGCCTCGCCGTGGCCGGTCTGCAGCGCGCGGCACGGCGACAGACTGCGCGACCTCCGCATCAGGACGCGCGCCGGTACCGACGACAGGAACATCGCGAGCGTGCGAGCTGACGCGGCAATAACACCGGGTTATTGTGTGTTTAGTTTTAGTGCTGCTGTGATCTCGCCGACAGCCGGTTTCTGGTTTTAAGGTCAGCAGGTGAATCAGAGCTCGAGAGCGGAAGCGTGTGTCCGGTAAAAGAAAAACATCCGCCGAGCGCGAGGGATCATGGGAAGTGTAGTTTAATCACGTCACTACCGCAGCGCGTACACTCAGAAAGGTGTTTTGTTTGATTTCGTTTTATTATATTATTTATTTGATTTTATTGTGTTTTTTCTGATGATTTAAATGTTGTAATAATAATAAAATTTTTGGACATGCGTATATACATAGATTTTTAAATAGATTTTTCTATTATATTTTATTGATAATAGATACTTTTTTTTCTACTTCAGCTCAAGGTTTCATTTTAGTATATTGTATTTAAACCTTTAAAAGACCCATGAAAACATAGAGCATTGTAATTATTTTGAACTAGAATTATAAAAGGGGTTAGTGTCATTTTTAGGGTTTTATCTTTTAACTTTTCTCGCAAATGAGCTAGAATTTTTTTTAATTTTCTTTCCAAAATTAATCAATTAATCAAAACATTAGATTCATCATATCTGGGGGTTTGAAAATATCAAAAAGCCCTGATTTAACGCATGAAAACATGGAGTAATTGCAAAAAACACACACAAAAAACACCGTTTTTGTAAATTAATCACAATTTTAATTTTCCTTTCCAGCTGGATCAAGATGAGAGGCGAAGGATAACATTTTCTGCTTCAGCTCAGAGTTTGATTATAATATTTTATTATTGCATTATAATTGAATCACCATTATCAAGCCCATTTATCATTATATATGCTGCGCATGTGACGCGTGTGACCTGCAGGTGGCGCCTAAACTCACAAAATACACGAGCAGCACTGTCTCAGCAGCCAACAGATCAACAACAGCAGCATATTCATGCAAATATGAATATCAGACTTGAATGCAGTCAACATCTCTTAATAAAATGAGATCATTGACATTAAATGCTTACCTTTTTTTTTTTTTACATGAGAGTCCAAAGTGCTGGAACCGCACACATATATTCTATTTTCTGATATTCAGACATCAGTTGAGTTTATGAGATTGAGATATGAGAAGAGCACACGCTGCATGCAGAGTGAATGTGTGTTTGGCATCAGATGAGGTGTTTTCGTGATCTCACAGGTGACTGTGGTTTGATGAAAGAAATAAAACCCAACATCTCCAGGCCTCAAGCTTCCTGAGGTGTGTGTCTCACGTCTTCTGCTTCCTATTATTAAAACATAAATTAGCACAGTGGCATTGAAATACTTTAAATCATTATTTTTGCTCAGTGTGTTTCAATTTATTCAGTTCTCTTCGGCGCGCTCTCAAAAACACACACACTGAATTTCTCCTCTTATTATACTCTCAATTAAAATGATATATATATATTTTTTTTTTACATGAAATTAAAATTAAAATGTATTAAAATATGTATTATTTATTTAAAATAATAAATAACATTTACTATTAAATATATTTAATTAATAAATATTTATTTAAATTATTGATGTATTAAATGTAATATTAAACACACTTAATTAATGTTTATACTATTATTATGAATAATAATATAAATAAATAGATTCATTTATAAATATGTAAATTATTGATTTCTTACGTGTGTATTAAATTTACTATTAAACACATTTAATAATAATATATTATTATTACTATTATGTATTATATTCACATTTAATAAAAGGGGAACATTGTATAAATAAATAAATATTTATTTTTTATTTATGTATTACATTTTCTGTTAAATGCATTTAATGTTTTTATTTAATAAAATAATATTATTAATAGTAGTATTATGTCTCAATCTGTTGATCATTAATCCTGTGAAATAATGGATTTTTTTCAGTTGTCTATCAGTCGTCTCTGTGTATCTGTATAATAATATGTCTTAATAAGATGCTCATTGGAAAATGATTTATTAGCAAGTGCAGATTCTCCTCAGCACTGACATTTTCATGCATTAGTTTTGACGCGTTTGCATCTGGAGCATGCGAAGTTCAGTTATCACACCCCATACATAAAGTGCTTAAATCACACCTCGTATACACACATATGTGTGAGCATCAGACGCGCAGGACGTGAATCAGGGATTGAGAGAGAGAGAGAAACCGCCCGTGCGTTTAACGCGTCAATCATCACGCGACGCGCGTCGGATCACCGGCGGCTGGGAACTCCAAGCGCAAACTCTCCCGGTAGCTTCATCCGGGAGCCGCGGGTTCAGCAGCAGCAGCAGCAGCAGGAGGAAGATGATGTCCGCGGAAGAGGTTCTGGTCCCGGATGACCGAGTCTTCAGCCGGTTCAGAGGCGAGTGTCAGTCCGAGCAGGGCTGGAGTCTCACCTACAGCAGAACCAGCGTCTGCGTGTGGATCCAGCTGCTGCAGGAGGACAAGAGCCTGCACAGGATCAAGGTGAGCCGCGGGTCTGAGGTGGCTCCTGCTGGTCTACAGCTTCATCTCATGCTCTTTAGATGACCAGTCATAGAGTAACACTGTCCAATGTTTCGAAAAGATGCTTAATATAAAAGAAAATGTATCATATTGGCTCATATAGTCTGATATAATGAGAATATGGAGGAAAACATATGAATTTGCTGCAGATGTTGATATTTATATGATGAAATTCTGATGCTTGTGATGTAAATCAGTGAGATGTTTATAACAGTACAGCACATAAACTGCTCTAAATATCAGTCGTTGCTCTATATCTCCAGTAATAATAAGATGAGACTGAAATGCTCCAAACATATAATGCAGTGATTGAGAGCTGAAGAAATAAAGGCTCCTCAGAAGATGTGAGATGTTCTGGAGGCTTGTGAAGATCATTCCTCCGCTGAGGAACAGTGAAAGTAAAGCTTCTGGAAACAAACGCTCCTCAAAAGATCCTGAGGATCAGATTTGAGACTCTAAAACATGATTGATGGAGAATCAAGTAAAGCTGAGCTGCTTCAGTGCAGTAAGAGTTCATCTGGAGATATTACTGACGTTATTCTGACCTTTACTTGATCAAAATCAGTCAAGATCTGACACGAGATGCTCCAGCTGAAGCTGAACATTTCTACAATTACACTAAAAGAGCTTTGGATAAATTGTGTGCAACAGGTTTAACAGCAGAGTTTGATCATGATAGGGTTAAACTCGTCACTGAAGCACTAGTTAGTCACGAGCGTGTGTGTGTCAGCGGTGTGTGTTTAACGGGTCACATCCGGGTGTGTGACGTGCGAGCAGGTTTGTCCAGCGGGTGTTGACGCACAGGTGTAGGAGTGTTTGAACTGTAACGGAGAGCCAGCAGGATGTGCACGCGTGTGTTTGTCTTCTCAGACTCACGCCGCTCACCTGAGAGCTCACCTGTGCTTCACACACACACACACACACCCTCTCACCCTCTCACACACACACACACACACCCTCTCACCCTCTCTCACACACACACACACACACACTCTCACTCTCTCACACA